TTCAAACAATAAAGCATTTACAGGGAGCAAACATTCTGAAGTATGTTTGATCTGCTTTTTTATCATGTGCTATTCTAGTCCTCTATTTGGTACATAAAAATCATTTCCACAGCAACTAATTATAGTATAAGTCACAAATGTTGGATTACTATTGCTGGTAGGGAATTAGAAGCAAAACGTCTTACTTTTGAAGTTCTTCCAAAAACTAATACAACCTAATAAAATGTAGGAAGGACATTATACTATATCCAATGTGGACAAGAACCTTTCAAATCTGCATTTATGTATGACCAACTTGACATGAATCTGAAGGGAATTATTTTCCCTCATACATTAAACCTTTATAAAAAAAATAAACTGAGCATATTTGTGGGTCTATTTCTGGTTTCTCTTTTCTGTTCCATTGATCCATGTGTCTGTCCTTCTGCCAATATCACAGTCTCTCTCTCTCTCTCTCTCTCTCTCTCTCTCTCGGCACTGGAGATCAAACATCACAGTCTCTTGATTGCTGTACATTAAATCTTAGTCTAAGGTAATGATTCCTACCAGTTTGTTATTCATCAAGATTGTTTTAGCCCTTTTGGGGTCTGTGCCTTTTCATTCACATTTTTTGTTTTTTTTGAGACAGGGTCTCACTGTGTAGTTCAGACTGACCTGGAACTCACTATATAGCCCAGGCTGGTCTCAAACTCACAGCGATTCTCTTGCCTCAGCCTCCCGAGTGCTGGGATTACAGGCGTGCACCACCACGCTCAGCCCTCATCCACATTTTAGAATAAGCTTCTCTATTGTATAAACACTGTATCTTGGTTTTAATATGGATATCATTACAAACCTTTGAATCAAATTAGGGAAAACTGACATGTTTGTATAGTATGTCTCTTGACTTATTAAATGTCTGATTCCTTCTATCAGCATTTTGTAATTTTAGGCATAAAACCCTGTACACATTTTGTTAGCTGAACATTTAAGTACAAAAAATTCCTCAACTTACAATTGCATTCTATCTGGGTAAACCCATCATAAATGGAAAATGTCATTAAAGGAGAGATAAATGGCATGAAGATTGGAGAAGAAGAAACATTCTACAGCCCACAGTATCTAGTGTACACGGACTGTGTTGCACAGCTAGGATGCTGAGTAGACGAAGTGTGCTAAGTACAGTAGGTTAGGTGTATGAAGTGCACAATGCTTATCCATTGCAGGTTTGAGCCTTTAATACACCTAACCTAATGAACACCAGCTCAGCGACACAGCACACTGCAAATGCTGGTTCTTTCCCCGGTGACCACAGGGCTGACTAGAAGCTGCAGAGAGAGAGGACTGTACCACATACCAGTACCCTGAGAAGAGTTTAAAACTCAAAATTTGAAGTGCAGTTTCTACTGTAAGGACATGGTTTTTACACCATGGTAAAGTTAAAAAAATTAAATTGAAATTTTGCAAACCAGGGACCATCATTTTTTTTTTGGAGTGATTAAAATAGCATTGTTTTAAATTTCATTTTCCGCATGTTCCTGGTGGGTTTATAGAGATGTGAGCAATTATTTTGTGTTGATCTTGGGTCTTGCTGGACTCATTTATTGGTTAAAATTTTTAAAATTCCATATATTCTTTGGGATTTTCTATATAGACAATCATCTCATCTATAAATAGCTTTATTTCTTCCTTTCCAATTTATATGCAATTCATTTATTTTCCTTACCTTTTACAGTGGTTGCAACTTTTTTTTTTTTTTTTTTTTTTTTTTTTTT